TCCATCCCTTTTGGCTCCATGTACCTGGTGGCTGTGATGGGGAATGTGACCATTCTGGCAGTGGTAAAGATGGAACGCAGCCTGCACCAGCCCATGTACTACTTCCTATGCATGTTGGCTGTCATTGACTTGGTTCTATCAACCTAATAATAGGCTTTTTTAGTAAGGCAATAATTAACAAAAAGTGTCATACTGGTTTTTACCAAAATCTGATGTTTTTTCCAGCCCTTATCTTGTGTACACTCTCTATCACTCTTGGAGTCTTGACTACCTCAGACGCCAGGGGAGGATCATCAGGGACTTGGGGCCCAGCTGAGAGCCCAGAAGCTGGGGGGAGGGGATGTTGGGAAGTAGGAATAGAAGTCTGTGTTCTAGTCTTGGAGATGAAATGGGATGGAAGTGAAGACTGATCTCAGGAGGGTAACTAAATATCAGGTAGAAATGTGCAGGCTTCTCATGTGCAACCTTGGGAAGTAACTATTTTTAGAACCTAGATAAAGGAGGCATAGAGAAGTAGTGGAGAGATCAGTGGCATGGCTTCGCTTGACAGCTAAATTTGTTCAAGCATCTAGGCAAGAGGTGTGACACAGTAAGGAACAGAGCCCAGAGCTTACCAGTGGTAAGTACATTCCAGAGAGGAGCCAAGCTCATTGGAAGCAGTCTCCAAGTTTCAGAAACTACATTTGTGTTTCGGTCTACCCAGGCTTCTCTTCACTTGTAAAGTACAGTACTAAGTTGAATATAAATTCTCCTGGATTGAGTCAAAACACCAAGGTGGAAGGCTTAGCTGTCTAGTACACTCCTTGAACAGGAGAGAGAAGATCGGACTATTCCAGCCGGATGGGCTCTTGTCTTCTGCACCAGTCAGGTACCTTCTCTCCTAGTGGGATCCTTATACCATCAGCAGGTCTCTCCACTTGACTACATCCATTGTAAAAGGCTAGTAATTCTGCAAAAGGATACAGAGTCACAAAGGTTATGTAAAATAGTACTATATGTACTGTGGTGTAGGGACAAAGAATAAGGAGTAGTAGGTGAGAGATACTATTCAGAGGCCAGGCATCCTAACATCTGGCCCTCTGTGTATGTACACCACACAGTTTCATTCAATACATGAAAGCAACTCTAAGCAACTATTCCCCCATTTCACAGACCAGGAAACATAAAACAAAGATCATGTTGTCTAAAGTCACAGAAGCAAGACAGATATAGGTCAAATACTAACTCTAAAGTTCTGGCTCTAAGCCTTCCTGCTTATGTGACACAACAAAATGTTCCTGGCTCTAAGCCTTCCTGCTTATGTGACCACAACAAACGTATCCTCTTCAGAATCCTTGGACTCACCATCAGAATGCCTGTCCTAGATTTGGCGGAATGTCACCAGTGTCCAGGTGAGGATCCCCTCAAGTGGGCAGACACACAATATTGCTCTAGAATGCTTAGGTTAAGTGACACAATTTCGGTACCACCCACTTGAGATACCTGTTGTCAACTTGGTGGATATTATTTTTATACATATGTTTAACATTTCTTGCCCCAGCCTAAACTCAGTTACAATTTCATTGCTGCACTGGTCTAACAGAAATCAAAGTTGGAAACCTAGGTTTAAGGTCATCGTCTAGACACTAATTCTTTTGTGATTAGTAGCCACTACTTGACTCACCCTGATGTTGAGTCATTAAACTCCTTCCTACTTAGGATAATGTCCATCACTGTACTTTAGAGATACTTCAGACGTTGTCCTTGTTATGTATAAACTGTGTATTGACTAGTGTTCTCCTTGAATTCCTATCCCATCTATACAATTCCTATACTTTTGAGGCATCCTCTAAGATGTCCCATGTACAGAAATAAGGAAATTATTCCAATTGGGTAGAATGTAAATTTTGGTCTACTCCATATAAATAGTAAGAATTTGGGGAAATACTATAAGGCTATAATAAAATAGCATGGCACTGGCACAAGAACAGAGACATGGACCTTTGGAACAGGAATGAGACTCCAGAGATGAAACCACATGCATATGGTAATCTAGTCTTTGACAAAACAGACAAAAATATACACTGGGAAAATCTCTATTCAATAAATGGTGCTAGGAAAACTGGATAGCTACATGAAGATTGAAACTGGATCCCCACCTCTCACAAAAATCAATTCAAGATGGATAACAGATTTTAAACCTAAGGCATAAAACCTTAAGAATCCTAGAAGATTTTGGGAAGACCCATTCAGACATTGGCCTAGGTAAGGAATTTTTGAAGACCCCCAAAGCAATCACACCAGCAACAAAAATAAATGGGACCCGATCAAATTAATTTCCTTGGCTGTGCAAAGGAAAGCTTATCCTTAGAGCGAATAGACAGCCTACAGAATGGGAGAAAAAATTTGTTCTCTACACATCCAATAAAGGGCTGATAACAAGAATCTAGGAGGAGGAAAGGGGTGTATGCTTCCATAACGTGTGTGATACACACCACCAGGGGATTGGACACATCGGGGGGGAGGGGAGCAGGGGCAATATTTGTAACCCTAACAATATTTGTACCTCCATAATATGATGAAATAAATACAAAAAAAAATCAAGAAAAAATCAACTCCATCAACAAATGGGCAAAGGAAATGAACAGAAATCTCTCAAAAGAAGACAGAATAATGGCCAGCAAACACATTTTTAAAAATGCTCAACACTTCTAATCATTAGAGAAATGCAAATCAAAACCACAGTGAGATATCACCTAACCCCAATGAGATTGGCCTCTATCAAAAAACCCCAAAACAAATGCTGGCAAGGATGTGGACACAGGAACCCTCTTACACACTGCTGGCAGGACTGCAAATTAATGCAACCACTGTGGAAAAGAATTGGGAGATACCTCAAAGGCCCCCCAAAAGTTTACATTTTTAAAACTTCTAGTTTTCTTTTTTTTTTTCTGATTTCTTTAATCTTTGTCTCCTGTTAACTTCAGGCTAGTTCTAGTTTCTGGAGGTATTAAAGTTAGGCTGTTTAAGATTTTTTTTATTAATATAGATATTTCAGTATAACTTCCCTCTTAGTACTCCTTTTGATGTATCTTATAAGTTTCAGTAGGTTGTGTTTTACTTCTGTGATACTCATGTAATGCTATAAGGAAAACAAAATGAAGATGAGATGCCACCAAGGGAATATAATTCTTCAGTAACCTATTTCTCCAAAATGGAGACATATAAAGTGTTTGACAAAGAATTCAAGATAATTGTTTTAAAGAAGCTCAGTGAGCTATGGAGCCTCTGAGACAATTTGGTGATATCAGAAAATGACATAACAAAATGAGATCAAAGATAGGAAACAAAAGAATCCAGTTCCTGTGGCTCAAGATTCCAGTGTTCTGAGGGGCTAGGCCTGCTCTCGCAGACCCAGGCTAAGGATAGCCCAGCATCGTGTTGGTCCTTTATAGACCCCCAGGCTTCAGGATAGCTCCTACAGACATCCTACTGGACACCAGTGCCAGGCCACATCAAGTATCTCTTGGGACCACAATGGTATGATACTAGAGATCATTAACAGAAAGAGAATTCACAAATATGTACAAACTAAACATACTTCTGAACAACCAGTAGATCAAACAAGAAATCAATTCCCATACAGTAAAATTTTAGAAACAGGATTACTAGATTGAAGGACTTAGAGCAAAAAAGTCTTATAAGACCAATAATGGTCAATAAGGCCATTGGGGTTAAAATAAGAGTTAGGACCTAATAATGATACAATAAGGATACAGAAAAAAATATTTGAGCACCATCAAATTAGATTTCTAACTAATATGGAGTATTGAGTCATTAAAAGTGATTATAAAACTACCTCCTTGTATATGTGTCAGAACTTCCTTATACAAAACAACTTTTTCTACATTTGGACAAGTTGTAGCCAATACTTATTTTGAAAAACTTATTTTCTTTTGACTAGATTCCTAGTATGTGAAAGTGGGGAGAATGATTTCAAAAAATCAGTGTTCATACTCTATAGAAACCAAAGAAACATAAATAAGATCCTTTTCCATCTATATACTATGTTTTAAAATATTACAGGGCAATTTTTCAAATGAAAAACAGATTGATTCTGGAAAGCAATTTGAAAACAGGATTTATGAGCCTGCACAATGGCCAGTTTCATTTCTTGGGTTCTATACTAAGCTTGAGCAAAAAAATATTGATGAGTGTCTTTGCCACTTTGGTAATAAAACTGAAACCAGCATTCCCACTACTCTGGGAAGTTTACCCACAGAAATAAGCACACAACTGTTTCAACTTGTGATTATAAATGTTTATATTAAAGCCATAAGCAAATCTTAAACAGAATAAAACTACCATGTCAATAAGATATATTTAAGTAATGGTTACCTTTCTTTGTATAGTCTAGATTTTTATAATAGGCTTTTTTAGTAAGGCAATAATTAACAAAAAGTGTCATACTGGTTTTTACCAAAATCTGATGGTTTTTCCAGCCCTTATCTTGTGTACACTCTCTATCACTCTTGGAGTCCTTGACTACCTCAGACCCAGGGGGAGGATCATCAGGGACTTGGGGCCAGCTGAGAGCCCAGAAGGCTGGGGGGAGGGGGATGTTGGGAAGTAGGAATAGAAGTCTGTGTTCTAGTCCTTGGAGATGAAATGGGATGGGAAGTGAAGACTGATCTCAGGAGGGTAACTAAATATCCAGGTAGAAATGTGCAGGCTTCTCTGTGCAACCCTTGGGAAGTAACTATTTTTAGAACCTAGATAAAGGAGGCATAGAAGAAAGTAGTGGAGAGATCAGTGGCATGGCCTTGCCTTGACAGCTAAATTTGTTCAAGCATCTAGGCAAGAGGTATGACCACAGTAAGGAACAGAGCCCAGAGCTTACCAGTGGGTAAGTACATTCCAGAGAAGGAGCCAAGGTCATTGGAAGCAGTCTCCAAGTTTCAGAAACTACATTTGTGTTTCGGTCTACCCAGGGCTTCTCTTCACTAGTAAAAGTACAGTACTAAGTTGAATATAAATTCTCCTGGATTGAGTCAAAAACACCAAGGTGGAAGGCTTAGCTGTCTAGTACACTCCTTGAACAGGAGAGAGAAGATCGGACTATTCCAGCCGGATGGGGCCTCTTGTCTTCTGCACCAGTCAGGCACCTTCTCTCCTGGTGGGATCCTTATACCATCAGTGGGTCTCTCCACTTGACTACATCCATGTAAAAGGCTAGTAATTCTGCAAAAGGATACAGAGTCACAAAGGTTATGTAAAATAGTACTATATGTACTGTGGTGTAGGGGACAAAGAATAAGGAGTAGTAGGTGAAGAGAATACTACTCAGAGGCCAGGCATCCTAACATCTGGCCCTCTGTATGTACACACACTTACAGTTCATTCAATACATGAAGCAACTCTAAGCAACTATTCCCCCCATTTCACAGACCAGGAAACATAAAACAAAGATCATGTTGTCTAAAGTCACAGAAGCAAGACAGATATAGGTTCAAATACTAACTCTAAAGTTTCTGGCTCTAAGCCTTCCTGCTTATGTGACCACAACAAAATGTTCCTGGCTCTAAGCCTTCCTGCTTATGTGACCACAACAAAACGTTCCTTTCAGAATCCTTGGACTCACCATCAGAATGCCTGTCCTAGAATTGGCAGGAATGTCACCAGTGTCCAGGTGAGGATCCCCTCAAGTGGGCAGACAATATTGCTCTAGAATGCTTAGGTTAAGTGACACAATTTCGGTACCACCACTTGAGATGCCTGTTGTCAACTTGGTGGATATTATTTTTATACATATGTTTAACATTCTCTTGCCCCAGCCTAAAACTCAGTTACAATTTCATTGGCTGCACTGGTCTAACAGAAATCAAAGTTGGAAACCTAGGTTTAAGGTCATCGTCTAGACACTAACTCTTTTGTGATTAGTAGCCACTACCTTGACTCACCCTGATGTTGAGTCATTAAACTCCTTCCTACTTTAGGATAATGGTCCATCACTGTACCTTTAGAGACTACTTCAGACGTTGTCCTTGTTATGTATAAAACTGTGTATTGACTAGTGTTCTCCTTGAATTCCTATCCCATCTATACAATTCCTATACTTTTGAGGCATCCTCTAAGATGTCCCATGTAACAGAATAAGGAAATTATTTCAATTTGGGTAGAATGTAAATTTTGGTCTACTCCATATAAATAGTAAGAATTTGGGGAAAGGCAGCTGCTGTCATGTGCCAAGAGCTTCACACTTATTTCGTTTGTTCTATGTACATATATGCTTTGCAATACCTTCCTCACTTTACACATGAAAAAGGAGGCTTCAAGAGGCTAAGCGATTTACCAAAACAGTAAGATAAAGGTCTGGAATGGGACACCTGGCTTGTCAGGTGGCAAAACTGGTGCCCTGAGCAGCTGTGTGGTGCTGCCTCCCAGGACGTCTTTGCCTTTCCTGTCTCATCTAATAAGATCCAGAGAGAACTTACATTTGAACCCAGAGGAAACGATTTAACATGTGTTATCACTTATTTGCATATTGAAGTACCTAACTCACAGAATTACTGAAGAATCAGTGAAAGTTAACATTAAAAAAAACTTGTGAACTCTTAAATCTCACAAAACTTTTATGTCTCATTTCAGTTACCTAGACACAATGCCCAACCAAGGAAGAAGCTAACTCATAAGAACTTAGAACGAACCATGTATTAAGTTCCCGATTTTCCTAATCCATGTTCTATAAAGCTACAGTGACATTTATTATGCTATTTCCATGGAAATGTACTTGCTATTTTAGATTAAAAAGTACATTTTATATTTTTTTAAACAATTTGTGGAAATTTGACTAGGACCTCTTTCCCTTGCCCACCCACTCTGGTACAGACTGAATACCACGGAAGGCTTTATAGGAGTGATCTAGGATGGGGGAAATCTCTCTAAATAAAAACCAAGGAGATGGTAAAACTTCCCAGCAAAAACATGGCTTTGTGCAGAGTGTTACCATGCAATTGTGGGGTGTCATGGGACCTGCTGACTCTGCTGAAAACCTGATGATAAAGATCAGGAAGGCAAGCCTGAGACAGGGGAAGGACACTCAGCTTCTGAACCCCGAGAATGGGGGACAGCAGGATTCATTGCTAGGTTCTTAGCACAGGCACCTGAAGGACAGAAGGGCCCCAGGGGGTGGGCAAGGCTTTTAGAATACAATGGCCAGTGCTTTACTGCTAATCTCCTTGTTGCCTCAAAAACTAGAGACCAAGAGGGATGTGGTTGGTAAAAAGAGTTTTGTTGCTTTATAGCAGTCCAAACTTCTTAATCCCTGTCATCAGATGATGGACAAAATATCTAGCAACACTTCCTCAAAAGATATACCTCTTCTTTACTTAAATTGTAGGTGATGCCCAGATTCTCACTAAGAAAATTTAATGGAATATTAAACTCTCCAGGAATTTTCTGTTCATCCTTTTTAGCCATAAAATCTGGGCAACCTTAAATGAGTGATCTTTTTCTTTGAGAAATCAGGTTTTATACCAACTATCTTTGAAGAAGTCAATTAGACTTGACAATCTGAATAAATCAATGTTGAATCCATTTGGAGAAAAGGGAATTATACTTTGCTAACATATTTTCCTTAGTAAATTGTCCCCTTACATGTCTTTTAATCAGGCTTTGATAACTTATAAGCTCATTTTTAAAGATCCTGATCCACTTTTGTTAAAGTCACAATAAACAAACATACAAAAGGAAGAAAACTAAAATCATCCATAATCCCATCCACCCAAAATCAACAAATAAAAGCTTAGTGCAGATCTTTCCAGACTTTTACTCTTTAACAGTATTTTTCTATATCATATGTACTCTTAAATATTAAATCAATTTAATCTGTCTTGATATTCCCTCACTCATTTACTGGTATAATGTTTATATTACAACATCTCTAAAACCATCAGTATAGTCTAATTCATTGAATGGATATAATAGAATTTAAACAATGCTTTATTTTTGAGACCATGTTGCTCCAACTTTTGCAATTACTGACTTTTATACTAATGAAAACAGCTGACCAATGTATGTTAATGTTGCCATTGACCAGTGAGAAGTATATGCAGGCACTGGGCTAAACACATTACATGGATTTACATGTAACTATTACACTGAACTTCTCTGTATTTTTCATTTCCTTTAGGAAAAGTTCCACAAAACTAGTTAAAAGAGGATATACAATTTTAGAAATTTCTATAGTGTGACGGCAATGTAGCAGTAAAAATCACAAGCATGCCTGTTTCTACACTTAACAGTGGGAGTCGTCATGGATAACTTCTTATAAAACATGTAACATATTTTTCAAGTTGTCATCCAGAATTTATCAGAGATGCCACTGGTTGCCAGAATGGACATTAGAATCTAGTCATCAGTTTCCAGAAGCAGCATCCCTCACAGGAGAAGAACTTTAAGCTCCTGTGGCCTGGACATCTCATGCCCCTAAGCATGCTCTCCTCTAATAATGCCTGCTCTGTGCCTACTTCTTTTCTGCTCACTGGCATCCCAGGACTGGAGTCCCTGCACATCTGGCTCTCCATCCCTTTTGGCTCCATGTACCTGGTGGCTGTGATGGGGAATGTGACCATTCTGGCAGTGGTAAAGATGGAACGCAGCCTGCACCAGCCCATGTACTACTTCCTATGCATGTTGGCTGTCATTGACTTGGTTCTATCAACCTCAACCATGCCCAAACTACTGGCCATCTTCTGGTTTGGTGCCCACAGCATTGGTGTGGGTGCCTGCTTGGCCCAGATGTTCTTCATCCACTGCTTTGCCACTGTTGAATCAGGCATCTTCCTTGCCATGGCATTTGATCGCTACGTGGCCATCTGTGACCCGCTACACCATACCTCAGTTCTCACCCATGCTGTGGTAGTTCGTTTAGGGCTGGCTGCCCTCCTCCGGGGAGTTCTCTACATTGGACCTCTGCCCCTAATGATTCACCTGAGGCTACACCTTTATCAGACCAAAATCATTGCCCACTCTTACTGTGAGCACATGGCTGTGGTCACCCTGGCCTGTGGTGACACAAGGCTCAATGACTTATATGGAATGGGAATTGGCTTCCTGGTATTAATCCTGGATTCATTAGCCATCGCTGCCTCCTACATGATGATTTTCAGGGCTGTAATGGGGCTAGCCACCCCTGAAGCCAGGCTTAAAACGCTAGGGACATGTGGTTCTCACATCTGTGCCATCCTTATCTTCTATGTGCCCATTGCTGTTTCCTCTCTCACCTACCGCTTTGGCCATGATGTGCCTTCCCATACCCATATCCTTCTGGCCAACCTTTACCTCCTCATCCCACCTGTCCTCAACCCTGTTGTCTATGCTGTCCGTACCAAGCAGATCCGAGAGAGACTTCTCCACGTCTTTAAAGCAGGGGCTCAACCCAGGTGACTGTTCTATATCTATGGGGCACATAAATACTTTGTGATAACAGTATAAGGCTGATGGGGGAAGCCTATGAAATTTCTGGGCCTCTACCTTAACTATGAGGATAATGGATTAAAGACAGAGTCTATTCTGTTTGATCACAGATTTTCTATGCAGCATAGATCCAGTATCTGAAAGTGGAAAGAAAAATCAAGGTGTGAGTTTTTACATTATAATTTCCTCCTCTTACCTATTTAACTTCATAAAATTAAGTACAATAAGCATGAACACAGCCCATGGGGAGTAAGATCACTTCTTTACTATTTTGGTGTAAAATTTCTAGTTTTGCTTTGAAAAGTATTATAAAGCATAATTTCTACAAGTATAATTATACTGTCACACCTTCTGGAAGACAGCTTACTAATTCTTTTAGTTTGGTAAATGTCTGTAAAATGTGCTGAAGTTTTTCCAACCCTTTTGGCTTATCCCATAAAAGACTTTTTTTTTGAGGATGGAGAAAATTACAAGTATGAAATCTTAACCAAATGAGACTTTACCACCCAAAGGAGTTAATATCCTCAAACAAGGTCTTTACCCCACTTAAATAGATGCATTTGCAACATTCCACATCTAAGAGTCAACTGAGAGGGAGGAATGTTAGGAGATTCAGTTTCAGAGGCCCTGAGATGGCTTATCTGGGGGACAGCAGCCACATATTTAGTGAAGTCATGGAGGGAAGAAAAGTGGATTATGAAGGTTGGGTGACAGATGGGCCAAAGGTGATGAAAATAGATGGGAGGCCCTGTGATGGATATAAACCTGAAATGATTCTAGATCTTTGGAGAATTCCTGTTGCTACCTCTGATTGTTACAACTTGACCCTTTTTATTATTTGATCATAAAAAGGTTCAATAATAGGACTACTTCAGGCCAGGAACCTGCAGAAACTATGTGGCAATGCACGAAAAGTAGAATGAAGCATCACTCCCAATTACAGTGACCCAGATCATGGTTTATGTACATGTTAGTTCCCAAACGTTTGATTGTAAACAACTTCCTCAGTTTACAACTCATAATATCTAAGAAGGCTAAAGTGACTGAACTTATGTTAAAAAATCACATTAGTATTTTTAGACATCTAAAGAAGCCAGTGATTAAGGTAAGGTTAGAATACAAATATATCCTACAAATGTAGGAAACTTGGAATAGCAAAAACTCTTAAAGTTTAGCTTACCCCTGAATAAACACCAAATCTCTTTCCTCAGAATCTATGCCTAACTCCAGGATTGGTTGGGTCACATCTTAATCTTCATTGTTGTGGTGTGAGGGATGGTCATTCTCCCATATGAAGGTCCAATACCAAAACTGAATCCAGTTATTGAGAGAAGATGGGCAGAGCTTCTATGAAAATAACTTTAGTGCCAAGAACATAACTTTAGTGCCAAATGCAATCTGATTTCTTTTTTCAATTTTGGGTTGAAAAGATACCATAGAAGCCTCAGAGAAATAAACCTATTTTACAAAGTGATCTCCTGACCATAAGCCCAGGCACTGAAGAAGATGGATGTTGTTCAAATGCATCTGTAACTCAGATGCTGGGGGAAATGATCAGCTTTTATCACAAGATAGGTCTCTGGCACAATGCTTAAAGTCCACTTATACTACATAAGGCAGATCAGTAGGATTATTACTAAGAACTTCCTGGCAGAATAACCTCTGAAAAACCTATGGTAAAGTATTTCCCCCTAGATGATCTGCTGGGTCTACCATAGACCAAGACCAAATGCCAATCATCTCTAGCTTCTTCATATGGTGTTAAATGGGGATAAGAGAAAATAACACTTATATCTATGTTCCTGGTTCGTTCAGGGACAACCACCCATTGACAATACCCAATACCCAGGTCTATCAGACTCAGGATGTGAGCTTACATTAGAACTTTTAGTCCCATTGTCAGCTGTAGTCCTGCCTGGGCTGCTTTGTGGTGGAGGGGTTATCTCAGAACAGGATGATAGGGAGTATACACGGGAGAATGCAGTATGGAGATGCGACATGTCCAGTAATTGACTATCTTATTCAAAGCCAGTGTTATGTTTCCCCTCACACAAACATCTGTTCCTTTACATCACCAATGCTCAGAGTAGGAGTGAAAGGTACTTTCATTGGCCTCTTTTGAACCTGTAAGTCTTCATGGAAAATGAAGATTGGGAGATGGTTGAGAGGGTGACATCATTGTGGTTATTTGTAAAGGGCAATGTTCTTAGCAGGTTAAGAACTTGAGCTCTGAAATCTCAAAGTATAGAGATGGACCTGGAAAAGTATGTCAGACTTTGGATGTCTTGTATGATCTAACCTTCAGGTTTCTCTTCTTAAAGTAATGACAATAACCGTGTGTGTGTGTGTGTGTGTGTGTGTGTGTGTGTGTGTGTGTGTGTGTGTGTTTTGCTGCTGTTGTCTTGTGAGGATACAATGACAGAATATAAAATATTTAGTGCCTGGCACATTAAAAAAATGCATTTTCATAACAGTATTTGTGCATGGAAAGGTCCTGGGTGGGGAATAAGAAGGGAAGAAGAGTAACCAGAACAAGTTCCTGGAAAGGCCATAGAGAATGTGGTTGTGACTCACTCGTGAATGCACTGGCCTCAGCTTCAGAAAGCTCCCATCATGGTGGTAATAATTCATTGGGTGCCAGTCAGGTGGGGAAGGTGGAAGTGGGCAAACACACAACTAATGTGGACAGAGCACACTGTATGGGGGAAGGGCACATTTCTAGCTCTGGCTTGGGTGAGGCAAAGGCATTACATGTAACCAAAATTTTTGCACCCCCATAATATTCTGAAATCAATCATATTTAATTTAGAAGACCAGTTACTTAATCTGAAAGTTATATGCCAGAGTGATATGAAAATGGCCTTCTGCACTGCACATGTTATCTTCAGACACAATCTTCTACTTAAAAAATTAGCAATTATTTCAAGATGCTCATGCCAAGTCAGGTTTGTTTTCTGTTTTTCAAGTGGCTGGTGATATCATTGCATTCCCCATGATAGATGGCAAGTATTGATAAACATCATGAATGTACATTTATTGTCAACTATTTATTTCAGCATATTATGGGGGTACAAATTTTAAGGTTGCGTATAATGTCCTTGCTCCCCCCCCACAAGTCTGGGCTTCAAGCATGACCATCCCCCAGGTGGTGCACATCTCACTCATTATGGATGTATATATCCATCGCCGCCTCCCCCCTCCCACCTCTCCAATACCCAATAAATGTAATTCCTAGGTGTCCACTTAGGTGCTGATTAGTTAATACTAATTTGCTGGTGAGCATATGTGGTGCTTGTTTTTCTTGGGATTCTTGGGATACTTCACTTAGTAGTATGGGTTCCAGCTCTATCCAGGAAAATACAAGATGTGCTATATCACCATTGTTTCTTAGAGCTGAATAGTACTCCGTGGTATACATATACCACATTTTATTAATCCACTCATGTATTGATGGGCATTTAGGTTGTTTCCACAGCTTTGCAATTGTGAATTGTGTTGCTATAAACATTCGAGTGCAGGTATCTTTTTTTTTTTTTTTTTTTGGGTAGATGCCCAGTAGTGGGATTGCTGGATCAAATGGTAGATCTACTTGTATCGCTTTAAGGTATCTCCATGTTGCTTTCCACAGAGGTTGAAGTAGTTTGCATTCCCACCAGCAGTGTAGTAGGAGTGTTCCTATCTCTCTGCATCCAAGCCAACATTTGTTTTGAGACTTTTTGATAAAGGCCATTCTTCCTGGAGATAAGTGATATCTCATTGTGGTTTTGATTTGCATTTCCCTTATAAGAGATGTTGAACAGTTTTGAAAAATGGAAATCCATTTAGTTAAAAAAAGCTCCCCCTGCTGTTTGCTTCTCTGTAGTCAGACAGCTTTCCTCTGTTCCACATGTCTGCCCAGCACCACTTATGTGCATCGGAGGTGCCAGATAGTCTCAATGATGGTAAAAACTAAATACCTCCAGACACTTCTTGTGCAACAAGATGTAGTCACAGACCCAGTTATGCAAAAATATAATTGCCTTTTTTCCCTTTTCTACATTAGCCAGAAGGGAGCTTAGAGTAAAAACCTGACTCATAAAGGATACTCACTCCCATACAAATCCAACCAATTTTAATGATCTTAGTCAATTCCAACTTATAATTCAGTCTGATTCTGGTTTCAAATACTTAGAAATACTCCTGGGGGTAGTATTTCGATCAACTTTTCCTGTGTTAGATTTAAAACTACAGTAGGGGATAAAGTGGGTTCTTCCAGGCCCCCTTGTCTTACAGTGATCTAAGGAAATGGTTTTTCATTCTCCTCAAAGTGTTCTGTGTGTTCAAGTAGACCATGTACATGAGGCCACACAGTCCTTATTGGTGGGTGTCTATTGCCTTTCCAACTGTTAGTTTTCTCCCCTGTACCATAGGGGTTTTGGTGTATCCCTAGTAGTTAACTTCAGTGTATACATTGGCAGGCCTTGTTATACTTTTTAATGAATCAGTAAATTCAAATTTTATCAGATTTCAACGAACAAGACCTTTTCTTTAGAACTTCCAAATTCAATCACTCCCACTGCAACTGGAAGTTTAAACAGAAACATGTTTCTACTAGCTCAAAGATTTTTTTTCACTTAAGTGAAAATGCCTCAGTTCCCCACTGATGCCACTTTAAGGTCTCTATCCATATTGAATCAGATCAAAATACATTTATTTTGAAAGTATCATGGGGGATGCCTATTCAATGTTTAACATAAACATGTTAGTATGAATACGTCATATGGAACAGTAAAGTATGAAGATGAAGTCCTGGTTAACCCTGGATAGCATGCTCCTTTTTTGAACACCCAACTACAGAAGTCAACAAAGAGATACACTGACAAACCAGTCCTAAAGTCATCCTTCAGTATAACCGTCTAGGCTTATTCTCCCTATTATATGGAAACTATTAATACATCTTAAGGCAAAGCAGACCCTGTGTTTGTGGAGTTGAAAAAACCCAGGCATAAGTCAAACACCTGCACTACCTTATAACAGTTTATGCTGGCCAGAAATGTTATAAGGAGCCAAAAGAAAGAAAGCACAATATGGATAGTTTGTCTTCTAACTTGTAATATATGGCTCAAAATGATGAAATCAAACTCTCGCGCTTCACCGATGATATATTATACCTAGAAAACCCCATGGACTCTTCCAAGAGACTCCTAGACTTGATAACTGAATTTGGTAAAGTTTCAGGTTATAAAATCAATATACACAAATCAGACACATTCATATATGCCAAGAACCATCAAGCAGAAACTCAAATCAAAAATACAATACCATTTACTATAGCCCCAAAGAAAATTAAATATCCAGGAGTATACTTAACGAAAGACGTAAAAGACTTATACAAGGAGAACTGTGAAACACTAAAAGAAATTGCAGAAGATTTAAACAGATGGAAAAATCTACCTTGTTCGTGGATTGGTAGAATCAATATAGTTAAAATGTCTATTACCTAAAGTGATCTATAGAATCAATGCAATCCCCATCAAAATACCATCAGCGTTCTTTACAGATCTAGAAAAAATAATTCCTCACTTCATATGGAACCAGAAAAAAACCTTGTATACCCAAAGCAATCTTAAATAAAAAGAACAAACTGGGAGGCATCAGTCTTCCTGACTTCAAGCTGTACTATAAAGCAATAATAGTTAAATCAGCCTGGAACTGGCACAAGAACAAAAGCATGGATATCTAGAATAGATCTGAGATACCAG